AATCTGTCTAGATCACCTTTTCCTGTCCTACCTCCATGAAGTACCCTCTACAAACCACTGATAGAAAAGAGCTGCCGAACTTCATTTATGATGTCATTAGCTCATTACCATACAAGACAATATAATACAATACTTGTATATAAAACCTGTAAACACTGTGAAGACCAACTTTAAAAGAAACACCATCCTCATTCAATGTTCTCTTATTCTGGATTTTATCAAGTTTTCCTTCATGCTACAACATCACATTTCTGACTGCTGTACGTATTTTTACACATTTTCCCTGAATTTCACTAATTTTAACACTAATTTTGAACCAAGCATTTAGAAATTGATACTTTGGATAAAAATTGATGATCAAAATATTGGTCGAAAACAGTAAACAGTGTTAACTTTGTAGAAACTGTGACGTTGATAGTCCTTGTCTCATCAATGTACCTAAATCCGGAAACAAATCTGGAAAGCGTAAATTTGCATTATATATAATACTGGAAACAATGATTTTACACTATCCAGATACCCCAACAGTAAATTCACATTTTTTGGAAAAAAACACAATGAATCTATAACTTTCTAGTCTAATATGTAAAACAGTACATACATAGAATTAGCATATGCGCATAATATTACTGATTTTACCAAGTGACAATTAACCATATTTGATGCAGGGCGATTCAGATTTACGAGATATCATGCAACACCAATGTTCGGGCAGCAGCAGTATGGTTAGTGTGCAACGAGGATTCAAACCTGTCATTCAATCTTTAGATCACAGTCGCAGCAAATCTTTTTCAAAATATGCGTCAACAAGTGATAACAACTTAACATGACAGGTGCAACTAAATCTATAATATAAACTACTTAGTGATCACTAAATATGCTAGTTGTCCGTTCCTAATACTGTAAAATGACTAATTTTCACTGGGTTTAAATTTCACTGATTTACCATTTCGGGCATATTCAGTGGGTTTTAAATTCACGGTTTCGTCATTTAGATAATGTGTTCTATGCTAAATTTTACATATTCACTGTGTTTTAATTTAGCGCATTTTTCCAGTCAGCGAAATAAGCTAAATTAAAACCCAGTGAATAATTACCCCCTTTACAGTACTCAGTTTTCAGAAACAATATACTAGGGAACTATAGTGAGAATTCAGTGGGAGACTGTATTCATATCAATTTATTGTGTTCTTAATAAGAAAATTGAAACAAATTATATAAGCCATTTGAAAATGACTAGCTTATGAAGAGTTTTCACAACGTTTCCCCATACTGAATACATGTGCTGTATTTCCCACTATAAAGTACAAGAACTGAATATATATTGAAGAACCTTTTTTTTTTAATAGTATAATACGAGACCAAAATTACCTTTATGGTATGAAATAAATATTATTGAAATAAAATAGTTTGCAATAAAAATAAACACTACATTTTGCTCACATTTCTATTGGACGTGCACTTTTAAAAGAGGAAATACAGTACTCCTGAACGAATTCAATGTTTGCTATCATCAGCAGCCGTGTTTGGTGAGTATTGAACAGAAGACCAGCCAGAGATAATGAGATATACTCATGTGCAGCCACGGTATACCTGCTGCTGCCCAGATAGCATAGGTTAGTCTACAAGCATAAATATGCAGAGTTGAATGTAACGATGGCAGATAATGGGATAGGATTCACTACAGAATATGTACATATTAAATATTTACAGCTAAGGAAAGTCACAGAATTATAATGTATACTTGAAAGCATTAATTTAAACAACTGGTATATCTGAGTTTTTTGATAAAATAAGATAATATGTATATATACTGAAAAGAAAAATAAGGTAATGTCTACAAAAAAAAGAAATTATTTTTGAAGAACGGGTAGATTTACAAGAATATAAATACAGTGCAGTTACTCAAATTAAATATATGTATAATTGTATAATATGTGGACTGGTTAGGGTGTGTAATGCTTTTGATGACCAATGAATTTGTACTTTCACTTGAAACCCCAAATGAATGTACCAGATACACAGTCACAAAGCATTGTGGGAAAATTGGTCAGTGCAACATCTGCAGTTATCAAGTGAGTCAGTTTATGGTGGTTAACATTTCTTCCTCCCATGTCAAATTAGTGATGACTTTGAATGTGAGTACGCCCTCTACAGGCAGACTGACAATTATTACTAGCAGGCTCCTGAGGACGCTATGATAAAGGTATTTCATGCTAAACTGCCTGCGACATACTCTTGACACATTTAGTTGACATATTCATATTCAGATTCAGATTTTCTCGCCTTATTTTATAATGATGGGAGGAAGAAGGTCAAACCTACAAACTGAGAGAATCAACATTACATCATTAATGACTTTACTGTAAAATACTTTATTTTAGCTGAAATTAATTTTTGCTGAAAAGACTTTTTGGGTGTTCTGTATGGAATTTATTTTTACTGATTTTTGACAAGTTGAATGTGAAATATAGAAAAAAAGGTATATTCGCTTGATTTTATTTTCACTGAATCATTCCTTCAGCCAAAGTAACGAAAATTAATTCCAAGCGAAAATAAAGTATTTTACAGTATATAAAATAGAATGCCTTAAAGGTGTAGTGTCTCTTTTCAAATGGTCTGTAAATAAAAACAACTTTCAACTACATTTTCATGCATACATACACTGCAAACTCAAATCAGAAAATTGAAATATGAGACAGCACAGCTTTAAAACAATCAAATTATTTTTAAAGCAATAAAATTAGCATATTTGTTAATTCATTATATTAATTTGCATAAGCATTCTAAAACCATGTGGTGTATCTACCGAACCTCAACAACCCTGAATCAACATACGGTTAATTAGCCCTCAGTCGCAAGGATTCTAATAACGGCTCAATAGCGACAGTTCCATCTGAGCGGCCACAATTTGTGATGGTGTGTTCGATTTGTGTTTCGTCCAGACCAAGCTGGTATATAAGGTTATAATTATTGATAATTCGACGTATCTCGCTTCTCTCCAGAAAACCTGCAATAAAACAGAACATTTTAATTGTTGAAGTATCTCAACACAACACACTGTATGCTGACGCGTTTTTTCGCGTACATTTTGGCAACACGTGGAAGCTTTCATCAGGCATTGTGTTATCGGCACTAATCGGCTCTGCGGTGCGCAACAATTCTGTCAAAATTGTTCAAGTTTTAGTAACAAGAGAAACATTCAATTCACATAAAACTAGTACCTGATATCAACAGAAATTAGATGTATTAAATGACTCTTCCAAAATTGTAATATATGGTCTGAAATTAAACAGGATATGCTATCATGCATTTTTTGTATCCAAACTGAATTTTAATTTCAAAATGGCTGCCAGTCAGCCATCTTGGATTGAATCAGTAAACCACTGCATGTGCATATGTCCCAGATAAAGTACTAGGAACATGCGAAGAATGAAAAGATTTGGTTCTAGGGTTCTGAAATACGACTCCGGACGGGTGGAAACCGAGTTATAAGACCCTGTTCGCTCAAATCTAAATAAAGCACAATGTTCCATAATAATTTCACCATGAAAATTTAAATAAAAAGAATGCTTGAGAATTGATTTAGAAAAAAACATTAACTAGAAATTTTGTCTTCTTTTTGTGAACGTTACCTGTATTAGTACTATCAGCATTATATAACCCCTGTGCTAAGTGTCTATATCTCTCAAACCATGTCTGGTCGTCTTCTGGTTGTTTTTTCACTTTAGCAGCCTTTTTCTGCATTTCTCTTATTCTCTTCTCTCTGTGTTTCTTCGCCATGTCTTCCAGTTGATTCCTTTGATACGAATCATCGTTAATGTTCCCATTATGTCCTACGATTGCTGATCTGGTTGGAGATGGACTTTCTCTGATATGTTCAAGTTCAAAGTCAGGAGATGGTGTGGGTTCTTTCCTGCTGGTAAGTCTCTATAAAAAAAAACCATAACAGCAGCATTAAAGCCCTTTGCAATCACCATGGACAGACTTATGCAGATGTGGCTTTTCAACTTCAAGATGTCAACTGACTGTATTTTCAGAGATAAAGGCTCAGGTATACTATAAATACCCTTCTGTACAATAGAGATTATTTCTATAAGTCACGCTGAAGTAAACAGCACCAGCCAAGCTCAGGTAAAGTTGTGTTTTCTTGAACTTACGACCCGTAAGTATATAGGACCTATTAAGTGGATGTATGCAACTATGTACAGTAGTGATTATTCGTTTTATTTAAAAAAAAATAGTGTACGAGTTGAGATTTTGACAAATAAAAGTCAAAAACATGAACCTGTTGAAAGACACACTGCTAATCTTGAATAATTAACTTTTGTCAATAAGTCTCACATGACATCACTCAAACAGGGGTGTGTCATCTAATCTTCACAAACATTTACACTGTTCCTAATGTGTTCATCAACGAAGAATGAAAATCGAATTCGCAAATTTAAAAAATTCGCCACATGAGAATACAAAAGTACTGTGTTTAGTATTGTTTACTGTTATATCCAGAGTGTGGGTACATGTGATCTAACCCAGCATCTTTGTTGAATTCTTCAATTCATTCCGATTCCCACCTACAACCAACTCCAAATCTGAGTGGATAAACAAGGCACAGATGGCACTTCTTGTGCTTTGGTAACACAAATGGTTAACTTTTTTCCCTCTATTTGTTGCATATGAAATTGCAACCAAGAATTCATAAGATTAGGTTATATGCAAGTGGTGTAATATGCACTGAAAATCTTGCATGAATGAAAAGTAAGTCACACACAAAAAAATCACATGACAAATAGACATTGCTTGAAATATTGGTACTAATCAATCAGTAAACTGTTTAGTGTTTGTCGCAGGCTGTTTTACTAGTGACTTTGCCTATTTGCAAAACATGTATTACTGGTATGTGCATATTGCATTTTTGAATACAGTGATCATCTCACTCATCATTTATGCAAATGAACTATTCCCAGCGTCCACTGTGTTCTAATGTGACAGTATTGGTCACATGAGATCTTCATTGGATTAATATAGATATTTCAAATTGCATACCCTAATCTTAGAAATTCTTTGAAAAACTTGGTATTAAGACTGCGTGCTGACATTAGAGGAACGGTGAGAAAAATAAAGCAGACCTGACTTACACATGTCTTTTCAACTTGTAACAGGAATAAAAAAAATACGGTCATCATTGTACGTTATCCCTTTTTATACTTACACCTAATGGTTTTCTAGTCTCCCAAGGTGGTGCTGCAGGCTCCGGTGGTGTCCCTGGTATAAGAGGATTCCTTCTTGTCTCTTGCCTATGTTTGCGTTCTCGCTCCTTCTTTGGCCAGGTGCCTGGCCTTGGTGGGAAAGCAGCTGCATTGCTTCTGGGGCTCATCTCCAATGTCATGTTGATTGGTTGTACTCTTTCCAAAAACTCAACAAAACTGATCCAACTACAAGGAGGAAAGTATTCAGAAACAAACAAACAGAAAGTACAAACAAAATGAAAAAGAAATGGTCAAACTTAGAATGGAAATTTAGAAAAGAAAATTATAATATGAGAATTTGTTTACGAATATATGGACTGAATCTGAGGAGGCGGCACTGGAAAGAAATCATAATGGTGTTGTCATACCAACCTGTACTGTCCGTCACCAAGGTCACATCGTTGTAATAGTTTGTCAAGCAAAGACCCCTGCACTGGGACTCTGTGTTTCAGACACACTTCATTAATCTGAAAACAATATTTATTACTACGATCAAACATACTGTCATGGCAATACTGAAACAATATAAATTCAACTGTTGATATATATTAGATGGAACCATCACTCGTACGACCAGTTCCAGAGGGCTTTTACACCTATATATCTGGTTATGCTGTAGGACAGGTAGCATGATTCCAGTGTGGAAAAAGATACTGATCTATTTTTTGAAGGGATGCCTGGAGCCAGTCGGAAAACAGGAGTCATGTACATCAGCAATTTGAATCATACATGCAATACCTGTTAAGTCTGTGAACAGTACAGTACAATCCCTAAACTCACACAGGTACAAGAAAAGA